AAAAAAAAAAAGAAATTAGCATCGTATATGGTTAAATTTTGGCATATCTATGATGAAATACAGAATTCAAATCTCAAACTTAAAAATTATAAAATTGTGTTTGAGCTTCATTTTACCATTTCCTTCAAAGCGTTGCACACACAGTTTTATACCCCAATTATTTTGTTTGTTTATAAATAATCAGTGGAATTGTAGGCACTTACTGTGGCATAACTCCAGCTTTTAATTTGAAGGCTGAACATTCACTGTCAGAATCTGTTGAACTTGCACCTGGGGAAGCATTAAAGATAGTGATAATGATAAAGGTAAGGTAGCATTTATAAGAATTTCAAAGAGTTATATTCTTCATTTTAAAAAACATACCATCTTATTTTAGACTTAATTACACAATGAAATAGAGAATGATTCAAGTTCAGACCATTTTCAATTGAACTATTTCTTCAGAAAATCATTTTTTAAATAAAGAATTATGATAAATAACTTTCTTGAAAGCAACAGGCTTTTTTTTTTTGGAGACAGAGTCTCACTCTATCACCCTGGGTAGAATGCAGTGGTGTCACAACTTACAGCAACCTCAAACTCCTGGGCTTGAGTGATCCTCCTGCCTCAGCCTCCTAAGTAGAAAGCACTACAGGTGCCCAGCTAATTCTTCTATTTTTAGTAGAGACAAGTTCTTGGTTTTGCTTAGGCTGGTCTTGAATTCCTGAGCTCAAGAGGTCCTCCCACCTCCGCCTCCAGTCTTTTCCTGATAGCTTCTCTTTTAGATCATCCAGTCATCGTTCTATGCTCTTTTTTCTCTGAACTCCCACTATTCTTTATACCATGCATGTCACCTATAGTATCTACCAGAAAATTATTAATTCCCTGAGAATTGAGGTGGGTTTAAGAAGGAACCAGCAACTTTTGAGTACCTATTACTTGTCTGTTAGGTGCTTTACATCATTTAATTATTATAATAACGAAGCTCAGTAGAAGTGAGTTCCAAATGACAGATAAGAACACTGAGAAATGCAGAGGCTGGGTAATTTGCATCAAGTCGCCTAACTAGAGACGGTGGTGAACGGGAAACCACACTGTCGGAAGGTGTAGCCAGTGACCTTCCTTGTGCATGTGACTGTCCCAGCAAGCTGTGCTCCTGAGTGCCTGTGCTCTGCTCACAACAGGCTCCTCATTGCTATGGAATGTGTGACTAGAGCTGGGGACCTCAAAACTCGGGTGGGAACAGGGAGGCAGGACCTGGAACCGGAGGGCTCCTGCATAGCACTTGGCTGTCTGAGGCCTCAAGAGTGGAAGGGGTCAGCGCTGTACTCAGAGAGAGATCAGGAGAGGTTCAGGCTAAGGTGAGTGAAAGGGGTCTGAGACATACCTGGGCAAAATGGGAATCTGCACCCAGGGTGGTTTGGGGCTGGTTTTCGCACTGGACATAGGGGAGGAAGGGTTGCAGGGTGCTGGAAGGCTCTGCCAAGCTGATGTCTTGCCGGGGGAGCTCTTGGGGCTAGCCCAGGTAGGCCTTTGTGTTCTGGGAGGAAAGGAGGGGGAAGGGCTTAGGTCCTTAACAGAGTGGGGCTGGGGTTACTAGGGGACCAGGGAGAAAAAGGGCAAAATGGCAAAACAGGTGATAAACAGGCGATAGGCAAGAAAGGTTTTAACTGTGAAGAGGTGGCAGAGAGAGCTCAGCAGGGGAAACGCCAAGCCAATAAAGACGAGGAGGTCATGGGTAACCAGAGAAACCATTTCACTGGAATCACAAACGTGTTTGGGAGAGGGAAGGGTGGCAAAACTCACGTGGGAGATACTATACTATCAAAAGTGGCCAAAAACTGGGGAGAAAAATAGCTGTTTTTCACCTGCTTCCAAACATTGAAATTATCCAAAGGGGGGGTGGAGAACATCCTCTGATGACCTCTATCTAGAAAGCCACTCTTGCTACTTTTTTCCCAGCTAATGTTCAGAGAAAGGCAAAGGACCAACGAGGCTGAAATCTACTGAGTAAGAACACATTTGCTAGTTTCTGCATACCTATCAACCCTGAGGGAATCTCAACGCCACTTATGTCTCAGGTGTGAAGTCACAGGGTCCTCCCTGTGCCAGCCAGCTCCCTGCTCCCTCAGGGTGGGGCTTCCCTCTCCCAATCTGGTCTCCTGTTAGCACCTGCCTCACATCTGCTGGGGAGGAAAAAAATACTCCTGTCTCAGGTTAACATTTTTCTCTGTATTTATCAACCATCACTTTCAGATTTTGATATAGGCTTCAATATGAAAGAGGTTAAAACCTGTAGGGAAGGTTTTATTGAGATTTTAAATTCTAAACTTCCTACCCTTTGCTAGACTCCAAAGACTATATGCTGATATATTAATAGTAACATGCTTTAGCAACCAATTCAACATGGATACAATTAAGTCTAATTTAGTGCTGGAATGAGTAAAATATAACAATTTACTTATTTTGAGCCCAAGAATTTATCTGAGAGATTGTCTCATTTAATGTAATTGTTCTTGTGGAAAAAACACACTGAAATCTTTCATTTTATAAAAAAAAATTATTAATCTATATTTTACATTGGCCAATGAGCCAGTTTCCCAAAGTGCTTTATAGTAGGCTTAGAAAATTGAACCTTAATGACTAAAATGTTTTAAATTAGAAGGAAATAATGTTGACACGAGAGACAGTTGATGTGCCCCTAAGTGTCAGAACTGTTCGATTTAGTTATAAAGTTTTCTGGGAGAAATGATGTTTGAATCATACCATTATACCATTTGCATCAGAAAAACTCATTCACGAGATGCCCATGACACTTGGCTATTAGACCCCTCATGCTTCTCACTGCACGCCTTGTACCTTCGATGAACACCTCGGCAGACGTTGAGTCTGAACCACTGGGGTTCGTGGCCAGGCAGGTGTAGCGACCTGTGTCGTCCTCAAAGGCCTCAGCTATGACCAGTGTGTGGAGATCACCCCCCACACAGCAGATCTGGATGTCCGGAGAGCTAAGCAGCTCCTTCTCGTCACAGAACCACCTGCAACAAAGGACAGAGAAAAGGGGATGGTGATGGTGACTCTCCAAAGTGGAGTCTAGATGCTGTATAGTAAGATACTTGGTTTGACTAAAAAGAATACAATCTGAGTCTGTGGTACTGAGAGAGGCTCTTTAGTTCAGACCATGAAATTAATGAAGAGACAATTCCCACAGGCTTTCTTTGTAAACCACCACATATATCTTATCAACCTTGGTGTAAGAGACATCGTCAAACTCAGAAAGGCCATTTCAGTCACCAAATAAAAGGAACAGAAATTCCAAGCATTTTATAAAATGTTTTATAATAAATGCCTCCTACATTTATTACAATTTCATCTATTATCCCTTATCTTAAGAAAAACATAAAAGTAATATGACCATTATGCTCAAAACATTCAATAAGTTCAGGGAAAGTTAACATCATGTTAAGAAGTCATAAGCAGCAATATTTCTGTTGACTCTTCTGGTCAGCTGAGCAGTAGCAGATTTAATGCCTTCCACATATTTTTGGTGTTTATAAAACTTTCTAGCAGACTTCCTTGTCCTGCAAGATGTGGAGAGAGGTAGCAGTTGTGCTGTGATTCCTTCTTGCTGGGCAGCCCTTTCCCTTCCCAAACAAGAGGGCTCTGGCCTAGGGGGCTGCAGGTTGGGCCCTGGGCCTCACTCTGTCTCCCTAGCACTTCGCTCAGATTCAAACAGCTGCATGTACACGTGGTTGCCATTATGTTTTACCAAGAAAGCAAACAAAACACACAACTGAAGCTGCACTAAAAAAAGCCCCAAATGTGATTTGTTTTTAAAGAAATATGTAGGACTGTGCTACATATAACTAATGGTCTAGAAAAGGGGCTTAACTGTGACTTTAGGAATGTCATTTAGCTTCTAGGTTAGAGGTTCCTCATCTATACGAGACTTTCCTGCCTTAAAGTTTCATGATTTTAAGGTTTTTAGTTAAATGTAAGAGCATATATTTAATAACTGTGTTAAAAATATTTCAGGAAATGATGTAGAAAATTATTTAAAGGAAGAGTATGTAATTAACGAATTAGCTTTGGAATATATTAGGATGTCACCATGTTTCTAAGACTGTACACTCAAATTGGGTTTTTAAATATATCAATTTATCAAGATTTACCATCTGGTCTTCATCACAACTGTGGCACTTAACTTTCCAAGTTATACTAAAAGTAGCTCTTTGTGTACCTCTCTATCCTCTTAGAATAGTGGTTCTCAACCTTCCTAATGCTGCAACCCTTTAATTCAGTTCCTCATGTTGTGGTGACTCCAACCATAAAATTATTTTTGTTGCTACTTCATAACTGTAATTTTGCTACTGTTATGAATTATAATGTAAATATCTGATATGCAGGATGTCTTAGGCGACCCCTGTGAAAGGGTCATTCAATTCCCTAAGGGGTGGCGACCCACAGGTTGAGAACCGCTGTTTTAGAATATACGTTTTTGCAGGGTGGAGGCCTTGTCTTATTAACTTATTGGCTAGGTTCCAGCAGTTTGGCACATGGAATGTGTTAATACTGTGCCTGTTAATTTTTGGTGTCTCTGAAGCTTCCAAATCTGAGGCTTTGCAGACCTTAGGGAGACTGCCCCTTGCTAGAGATAAAGGATTCTCTTGCCAGCAGGTCTTCCATATTTAGGGTAACCAGACGTCCCGATTTTGAACAATTTGTCCCGCATCCTGCGGCATTTTTAAAAAGTCCCGATTTTTGTAAAGAATGCACAAACGGGCAGGAGAACAGGAAGGGAATATACTGTTTTCGGCTGCCATGTGGCTATTTCGCCAGAATATGAGTTTTATATTATTTTTGTTAATTTTATAATGTTAAACTGTAATAATAACAAATAATTGTTGAGAAGTGATTATCGAGAACTGCTTATCAAAGTTTGCATTGTTGTCAGGCCCTGCCCTGCCCCCGCCTCACCCCCCAGCCATGTTGTCCCGCTTCACAAATGTTAAAATCTGGTCACCCTATTCATATTACCACCTGCTCCACTGGGCTTTCATACTGGGAGTACGAATTCCCTGTCCTAATCACCCAGGGCCAGACACCAGACAACTAAAGACAGCCCCTATGCTTATGAACTCTCTGAAATTATTCAAACAACTCACCCCAAGTCGGATAGCCTGCCTCACCTGTCCATTCCCATAGACCATAATAAAGGCTTTTGCTACATGTGCCCTGCTCCCCCTGTGGCCCAGGCCAATGGTATGGTCTGCCCCCTCTTCCTGGAAACTATGAGTGACCAACTCTCTTTTCAATGACAGTCATATGCTGATCTGCTGGCCTCACCATACCTTTCTAAAATCATTTATGAATGATAAAAAGGACACATTTTCTAACACAGAAGATGGTCATTGAATCTATCGAAGAAGAATAAACTACATATAAAGAGAAGACTGAGCAAAAAAAGGGTTTAAATCATACCTGTCAGTTTCTGCTTTAAAATGTATTTGGAGAGAGGCTTATTGACTATCCCTGAGTCAGCCTGACATGCATTTAAACAGCACAAAGTCAAAATAACCACTGTAGTGTGTACATCAGAAGAGGAAAGCAGGTTTGCCCACTCATGTAGCAGATCAAAGACAAACCACCTTCTTAACTAAACCAAGAGATCTCAGAGTGCTGACATTTGGAAATCTCTCACTGAGATATGAGTGCTGTTGTCACATTTGCTTAAATTTCCTAAAAGTCATAATTCTACAGGCTTCCTGGCAAAGGACTCAGAACATTTAGTAATCCTTACAACATCAGGTTTTTGATTAATTTTGACCTGAAATTTTTCCCATGTTAAATTTTTTTCTCTGGTGAGACTTAGGCAAAGTGATACTGGTGTGATGAGCTGAAAGCACACAAGATAGGAGGGAGTGTAGGGCTTGGAGAGGCACAGGTCATGGCACTCACTGTCCACTCCCCACCCGAGGCAGATATCACCTCTGGATCCAAATGCTTTTGCCAGTGAAATGGAGAGACTCAGAGCCCTCAGCATTGCTGTTTGGACTACAAAGCAACTCAAGTTGAAGTTTACAGTGAAATGCATTTACCACCCTCAGAGTAGTCTCTTTCTAGATGGCACAGTCTCCCCTTCCTCCAGTTCCCAAAAGCCCTATTTCTCCAGGAGCAGAGAGGGGTTTAGTTGGGAGGGGAGCATGAGAGCACATATTGTGGCCAGGAGAGAGCCTGCCGAGGTAGAGTTTGACTTGAGGACACCTGGCCCTTTATTTATCCCAGTGCTGATGCCTGGAAGTCATCCATCTAGTAAAGAGGACACTGGCAGGCACACAGGACAATTAAAATCTTGTCACCTACATTTCCATTTTGAGCCTCTAATAACTTCAACTCCAATCACATTTTGAATTTTTCAGCATAAAATCATTAAGACATTTAATTACTATCTCATAGTTAAGATGAAAAGATGATACAACTTTTGAGAACAATGGTAGTTCTTAAGGACTTGCATAAATTCAAATTAAGGGAGAATTAATATTTATGAAATTATCGGCAAAATACGAGCTTATTTTATCTTCACGACAACCTTACAAAGTTGTCATTAAATTTTTATTAATTTGTTTATTTTTTATTAGTATTTTTATTTTGCAGGTTTTTTTGGCCGGGGCTGGGTTTAAAACCGCCACCTCCAGTATATGGAGCCAGTGCCCTACTCTTTGAGCCACAGGCACCACCCTTATTTGTTTATTTTTGAGACGGAGTCTCACTTTGTCATCCTGGGTAGAATGCCATGGTGTCATAGCTCACAGAGACCTCAAACTCCTGGGCTC